TTTTTTTGATATGTTAAAACTAATTAAAAAATAAAATTATATGAAGAATGGGCTTCGAACAAGAGCAATGAAGAAGATGAAAAGTGAGTGAATAAGAGTGAAAACTTGTGTGTCATTCGAATATGAACTGCTTGGTTACAATGAGGGATATCCTACTTACAGGAAAGGTAATTAATGCTCTCATGATGGCTTTGTACATTACTGACGGGTTGGTCGGCCGTACTGACGAATTCAAAATCTGTCATAAAGGTTGGTCAATTACATTTAATATCTTCCTTAATCCTATTAAAGAGCCTAATAATGTACAGAAAACGTTACAACATCCATCATTAAGCCTCTTGGATGTATCATTAACTTCTGCGGTCAACCCTCTTTAATGCAACATAAACCGTCAGATTCTTGCTCTAACAATTTTCCCCTTTCTAGAAGTTGACGCATACGATGCATGGGTCAGATCATTAAGCGGCAATTTGTCGAAATTTTGAAAGAGCTATACCTTCACCTCTTGGTTCTCTGCGTCTATTGACTCATCAACGACTTGTCGTGACGTTTTAATCAATTCGGTTGACGAAATGTTCCCTTCTTTTTCTGGAATAATCTTCGATCGAATCTGTCTCCTGAACTAAAACGACGAAAACTGAAAGCTGACATGTTATCTTCTCCCCTCCAAAATTGCCTGTTTGGACTAGATGACAAAAGTTTGCAACATCTTTCATATTGATGTCGATATGTCAGCTGGCAAAGGGAACACCATCCATCGTTTGAAGATGACGAGATGGGTTGTGTGAACTTGGTCCATACCCTGCAAAAACTTTAAATAGCATTACGTTTGTCGTTTGTACTCTCCTTATGTTGGAGCATGTGCTTCTGTTGTGTAGCTCTGTATTTTTTGGTTGCACGTGCGTTGTCATATATGTTTGCAGGTTTTGGCCAAAACGTATTGGATGGGCTCTATTAGGATTGTGATCCATGATAATTTCATGGGCAGCCTAACCCTTTCCATTTTGATGTTTAAGAAATATGTTTGTTTGATGTGAGTATGAATGATGTTTTATACCCCTTGTAGACCGCCTAAATATCTGTGTGATGTTATGGCTTAGAATAGTCCTGCATTTATCATAAAATGTCAAGGCTGGCCGTTAGCTTTGGGCCAACAGCCCTCCGATGGTTAAGTCAGTAAGTCGTCTGGGATGATAAATAAGACATAACATAATTAAAAATGGAAAAGTTTAAGGTGTACCGCATTCCAACTTCTAGGAACCAGTCTACCATCTATTGATTCCAATCGGTATGCCCCCTGTCCAATGATAGTCCCAAAACTTAACAATCGAACAATCATAACATGTATAAAGAAGCAGATAGAAAGATATCAAGATTAACAACACCTTTGGTATACCGTGTAAACTGGCCGCTGCTCTCCCTGGAGAAGGAGAGCAGCGGCAAACCCTGATCTCTCTATCTCTGCGCCTCTATTCTCTAAAGCCTCGAACGTTAGGGTTCCCGTAAGTTAGCCTCCTTTTATAGGAGAAGTTGGCTAACTTACGGGTTACAAGGAAGCTAACGGGCTGATACACATTTGTGGCCCGTATTACACGTTTAATTAATAACTACACAAATACAAAGATATTTAATTAGATTGGACACCATAAAATATTCCTAACAATCTCCCCCTTGGCCGGTGTTCAATCATGTTGAATCAGCATTGCAGCACAGATATCTTTGTCTTTGTTGTTATTCAGCTTCCTTTGTCTTTGAACTTGACTTCTTGAGAAGGCTTTATGAAGAAATCCTCGCAATCTCCCCTTTGATGTTTTCTTGGCAGTTTGATCTTTGATGTCGGGGTTTGAGAAATCTTTTTCTTGTAATCCTTGTCTTCCAGAAGTTACTCTTGATCAGCTTGGATGAAGTCCGGTGACGCCTCTAGAATGAATGTTCTTTGAAGAATAGGGGGCGCGCACGGGATTCATCTTCAGTACATGAGTATTTGACCTCTGTCTCCTCCACAATGTAGTCTTTTTGACTATTTGGAATGAATACATTTGAGGAGAACTTGTCGGTGGCACAACGGAATATAATGATGGTTGACTTGTGAGCGTAGCTGACCATTTGAGTTGCGGAGATAGTAGAGAGAGTGTTGGAGGAGAGAAGTGTCCCAGAATGATTTTTTTTGACAGTTAACAGCATGTGGACCACTCTCCCCCTCATGACGATCCAATAACTCGGGGCGTCATGCCTTTATTCTTTTATTCTGCGGAAATAAAACAGGAAAAACAAGCAGAAAGTAAAGAAGATAACGTAGCCCCCCGGGGTCATGAACACGCCCGTTTTCATCACTATAGAGATAAACTCTAAAGCAATGGCCTGAAAATGTTGGTGATTCTTATGTTGCAACTGCAGGACTTCCTTCCAATTATTGGTCTACATCTGTAAAAGATAAGCCCTATGGAAGTTCTCGCAGGTCATGAAAACCTGCAACTGACTCTAAAAGTGCGTCTGTGTCCTAGAAAATTTCAAAACATTTGGGAGTGAGTAACTAGACACGACGTGATCAATGAAAATTCAGTGACATGGGGCTAAGGCCATTGTAGTCAGTATCACTTGCCTCGGAAGGAGACAGTAATGAGAGATGCGGTTCCCCGTGAAATATGATTAAACGCCTGCCTGTTGGGAGACAAGTGAGTGGTCTTGGGTAGGGTTAAACATGCACTGTTGGACAAGATGCAGTGACTTCTACCCGGGATCTGATTAAATCAGTCCTGAACCTATTTGGGAATTGTCCAGAGTATTTGAGTGGCTAGGAGTAAATGTTCAATTCATAGAAGGTAGTTGAGGTAGCAGACTCATCATTGATTATTGTTTTCCTTCTCACTTGAGCCTTCTGCTTCCTAACTCTCATAATGATTACTCACTCACTCACTCACTCACTTACTCTCGGCTTTGTCCCTTGGGTAGGCTTAGTTGGGGTTACTAAGCCATATGAACATGTTCTCTCATTGATTTTCTCTCTGTACTCCCCCTCAACTGGAGCACTCAGTATGCTTTGTCATTGTTAGGCACCGGGGAGGATAACATTGAACACTCCCACTAGAATGTTGCATCCGTTGAGAGATTCCTTGCTTTGTCGGTGTAAGGCGCCAGGAGGAGAAAACTGAAACTCCCCCTCAGAATGTGCAATGATTGATTGCTCACAGCTCGTCATATCCGTCATGCATGTGGAGCAATCTGAACAGGTACCACACATGACAGTTTCCCTAAGCTCATCATTTGGAATTTCAGCATGTTTGAGGATCACACAATGTTGATGAGTTAGGGGAGGCTTCAGCAGTTGATTGTTGATTGTTGTAAGATGACCGTTGATGCGAGGTTGATTGAATTATCTACGATTTTCGGACCTCTACAGTGGAGCTTAGACCTTAGGTTTGACTTTGAAAGAATTTGATCAGATTTGCCTAAGTTTTGACCTGGACATTGGTGATTTACAAAGTTTGTCAGAAAACTAACGTTTTGACCCTCAAGGACTTCGAGTTATGGCGAGTGAGAAAGGGTTATATGGCATATCCCCAAATGTAGATCTTTTCGTTAGCTTTCCAACAAAAAAGAGTTTGCTAAAATCGGATCACCGAGTCAAAAGTTATGACCAAAACTGTGCGGTGTCGCAGAAAATCTCGAATTTTGAGTTTTTGAGGAAATTATTCGAGGTTCAGGTTCTCGATGTTGAATTTCGAGAGCAGGTGAAATTAAACAAAATTCTAAGGCAAACACTCGAAATCCTAATCTCGAGGTTTAAATCTCGAGATTTTAATTTCGAGTTTGCCTTGAAGAGTACTGGCAAAATCCACCTGCAAAACAAACCTCAGAAAATCGAAATCTTCAGAATATCAAAAAGTTTGGAACATCGAAAACTTTGGAGTTTCGAAAACCTCAGAAAATTGAAAACTTGTTGTTTGAAAAACATCAGAACATCGAAAACTTCTAAAAACTTTGATAAACAGAGATTAATTCAGAAATCCTATAATGTAAAGCTTCGATGAACTGCGAAGAATGTCAAGTTTGAAAAATTCTGAGTTTCAAGAAACTGCAAACTTTGAAAGATTCAAAACATCGAGAAATTCCAAAAATTCTGAAATTTTCAGAATGTCGAAATCCTAAACATCGAGTTCCTAAAACTCGAAATTCTAAAACTCGCAATTTCAAACCTCGAAATTTTAAAACTTGCAGTTTTAAAACTCGAAAACTCGGAGTTTTAAAACTCGAAGTTTTAAAACTCGAAGTTTTAAAACTCGCAGTTTTGAAACTCGCAGTTTTGAAACTCGCAGTTTTGAAACTCGCAGTTTTGAAACTCGAAGTTTTGAAACTCGCAGTTTTGAAACTCGAAGTTTTGAAACTCGCAGTTTGGAAACTCGCAGTTTTGAAACTCGCAGTTTTGAAAGTCGCAGTTTTGAAACTCGCAGTGTTGAAACTCGCAGTTTTGAAACTCGCAGTTTTCAAACTCGCAGTTTTAAAACTCGCATTTTTAAAACTCGCAGTTTTAAAACTCGCAGTTAACGCGAGGAGTTGTGCGGGGTGAGACATGACCATTAAGACCCTGATTTACCATAGTAGCTTCTTGGTTCATAGAAACTATATGTTTCACCAAAAGCTCGGTTTATAAAGACTTAATCGTCTCGGTTTGGTTCATAGTCTACGGACACCAAACTTAAAGTCTCATTTCTTTAATCCAGCATATTTTCTTAAGTATTTTCAAAATTGTAAAATGTTTATTTAAAATATGTTGGAAATTTTGTTATTTCAAACAAACAAAATAATTTGAACAAATGTTTGACTCTTAAGTAACCGAAAGGCTAATTAAAATTTTAATTAATTGGGTGGAGCCAATGTAAATTCTTGAACGGATGTTTTCCACTTGGTTGGCATTTGCACGTTACATGGCTCACCATTATTTGCTCCTATATATTAGGATCACCAACAACCATATTCTTCTTTTTTAATGGAGCAATAATCTATTATAAAATATACACATGCACACTCTGTCTTCTCCGAGAGATAGAAAGGAAAAACAACTCCATTGAAAATGTCTTCTTTCTTAAGATTGTGCTGGATTATTATAATTATTTCCCATATAGTTCTGGTTCCGACTTCAAGTCGAAGGGCTCATTATATCCTGGGGGAAGATTTCCGTTCACCAGAAATACTTTCAGAGGACAGCGTTTACGCTTCTCGAGCCGTTGATTCTTTTGTTAGCTTTCTTTGCAGGTGTATCTTTGTGTTGGCAGTATTAGAGCTGTGGACTTGCGGTAATACTCCAGCAAATATCAAAGAAGAAAAGTCAAGGTGCTGCCATGAAAGAAGGATAGAAGATGATGCCCAGGGGTCTCCATGCTTCTGTCGATTGCCGGAGATGAAGCGAGAAGCAACTTCCAAGAATGATGGGTATCTGTCGGCCACAACTAGACTGCTAGGAGCACGTGACAAAGGAAAATCCCCAACAGAGAGAGGTTGGGGAGCTGCGGAAGAAGCTGGATGCTGCTGCTATTGCCCACCGGGCTATTGAGGAGGCATGGAGATCCAAGGAGGAGGAGCTTAAGAAGAAAGTGTAAGAGGTTGGCCATGTTGTTGTCTAGGTCTTCCGATATAGTGAGGCCTTCCGACAAGAGGTGGAGCAGGTGATAGCTGATAGCTGTTATATTTACTTGTGTTTAACATAAGTATTTATAAGTATTTGTTGAAGAAAGGAAGAGAAATCGGGCAAACACCTTCAGAATGAGAGCTAGAGCATAATACATTGCGATGAAGAGCTTTTTGGACCAAGAGGATGACGTTCTGACCATAATTCAAGTATAACTTATTTTATAGAACTCGAAATAACTTGATTAGAATTTCATGTGAATGTTAACTCAATAAGGTACAAATGTTATGAAGACGTCATGGCCCGAATATGAAAGGATCAATACTCAATCAACCAATAAAGTCAGATGTTGCTGATGCGATTTCAGGATGCATACCTCTCAGTGTTTTATCCATATCTTTTGATTGGATGAATATGATCACGTTATTCAAGTTCTGGTGGATAGATGACTTCATTATCTACAACTTTGGTGAAGGTGTCATGTCCAAATTCGTAGCGGAACATCCCCAAAATCCAAATAAAAAACTGGCGCCGGTCTGATGATTTTTGCACATATACACAAACCAGTAGCTTAACCGGCGCCGGGTTACCCCTATAACCGGCGCCGGTTATCTCAAAATTCCAAATTTTACCTGCATTGAAAGAAGAACCGGCACCGGTTAAGCCTGAAACCGGCGCCGGTTAAGCCTGATCCTGCTAAAACACAGCAACGTGCAAGCTTATTCTTGATAGGAAAACCTCATCTTCCTCATTGTTGATCAAATATTGCCTCCATACCTGATTGTTGGGATCGAATAGACTAAAAGATGTCATTCTTTAGCCTATATAAATCCCTTATTTCATCAAACAAAGACATTCCATTCCATAGATTAATTCCTAGTTTTTTATATTTTATTCTTGCTATTGTTCTTCAAGTTCTTCAGAAGAAGCCTTTTTCTTCTCCTCTACAATTGGTTCTAGGTAATTTTTCTTGTATGTTATTATATTTCCTTGTTCTTAGTTACACTTTTGTAATTAGTATGAGCTCAAGAAGCTAAATTCTTAGCTAATGCTAGGGATGAACTTATATGCCCACTAGGTGTTTGATAAAAGTTCTAAACCAATAAATTGTGATTTATCCTTTATATATTGATTGTTTATGACTATGGTGTACAACATAGAAGTATGTTAAATTTAGTTTATACTTGCAATTAATGTTGAAGTATAAACTATGAACATTAAAGGATAAACATATATGGTATCGATAATAGAAATATATCCGGTCTTATATGATACGGGTGTGATGTTTTGATATTCAACGGGGTTTTCGGTAGATGAATGTAAGCCGTAACGGGACTTACACGTAACAAAAACCACGCTCTCGCTGCCTTTACCGGAGTTGAGAATATATTAGCGACATTGTATTCATAATTATTGGCAAAGAACTAATATTCAACCCTATTAAAGCATTTAAGTGATTCCCGAAGCCTTAGTTGTTGTTATTATTCATCTTAAACTCACAAATTAGTTAACAATTATCTTCTTGAACAAAAAGTGAAAAACCAAAAATATAAAACACAAATCAAAATCCCTACACTTTACTCATTTCTTCATTTAAAGTTATCTGCTCTCGGACTTGAATTAAACAACGTTTCCTTGTGGATTCGACCCGATATCTTACCAGAATTTATTACTATATCGGCACTTGTACACTCTCAAGTTTAGCCCGATCAATAGCGGATCTCCGGGCTGAGATAGCCCTGGAATGGGTGTCAAACCTTGAGGGGGAGCCAAAGCTGGAGGAGGAGGGGGCACTGTGCTTCCAGCTGGGCAAATTTGATATGGAGAAGTCAATCTACAAAGCCTTGTTGAGAAGAGACCCCTCCTTCACTGCTCCATCTTGGGGTCTGCCTGAGTTGATGGCCAATCCCGAAGCCCCCTAGGACGGCCCTTCCTCGGAAGCTCCTCCTTCTCCTACTGGTAATTAATTTTATCCCTGGACATCTTCGAAAACATAACAAACATCTTTTCCAGACCTGCATGCCTATTGTTTTCTACCATGGGGTGGCTTGTAGTGAGACATCATTACATTTCCTTTGCTTGCATATATCCCATCACCGCTTATTATCTGCTTGTGTTGGTTGCTTTGTCTATTTTCAACCTTTTTCAAAATCTCTGAGGCCTTCCAGCCTAACTCCAGATTGGTTTGCTTCCCTCTGGTTGTTTTAGCCTCTTGTGGAGTTTACCTCTGATTTCGCTTTTATTTGAGTCTTTTGCATCCCAGGTTCTGGGATGCCCTCCAGGCCTCCTTATCCGCTTTGTTGTTTTTAGGCTGCCTAGCCTGTTCAGTCACAATATCCTTACTTGTTTTGTGCCTTGAATTTGCAGTCAAGGTCGTATCTTTTGTTTTAAGAAAGACTTACCAATTTTCTAACCCTCAGGCTCTTAATGATTGAACCAAATGAGGTGGGATTTTCATCGAGGTTATTCTAACCTTATGATGAGCCTCTTAATTGGCGAAGCTTTTGTGAGCTTCTTCGGTGCAAAGTTCATTCCATTAGTTCAGCTTTAGCCTTGTAAAATCAATCTTAACCTTGAATAATGTTGTCTTTTCCCGTTTAGGGAAATCAAATTTTGTTTATAAAGGTTGTTTAAACTTGAGAAAGGTTGTTTATTCTCGCTCTCATCTTTAGTAAGATTAAGTTGAGCTTCTAGAATTTGATGAGTCTGGAATTATACGTTTTTTTTTTGCGAGTAACAGTTAGGCATGACCTTTCCTTTTTTTGTTTTTGTTTTTTTTATGCCTGGTTGGTTAAGAAACCTTCACAAGTTCATTCAAGTGTAAAGGATATTTGTGAACTAAAAGAAAACTTATTGAAACTTGTTCCAAGCCCTGTCTACCAGCTTCCCATTAAGAGTATATAATTTGTAAGTCCCGGGCCTAACTATCCTCTTGATTTTGTAGGGCCCTTCCCAATTCTTGGCAAAATTTCCTCCTTCTAGAGGCTTGCTAGCAGATCTTCTTATGATTAAATACCCAATGTCAAACTGTCTTGATCTGACCTTGGCATCATGATATTCTTTCACCTGTCGCCTATAGTTTTCAGCCCTGATGAAGGCTCGATCCCTTCTTTCTTCAATTAGGTGGACCTCGGCTCTTAGCATTTCCTCATTATTCTCAGGGTCGTAGTCCTCTACCCTCCTGCTTGGCACTATTGCTTCGAACGATGCTCGAACTTCAAAAGCATAAGTTAAAGCGAAAGGGGTCTCACAGTGGCTTTTCGTGGGGTTGTCTGATATGCTTAGAGTGTCTTGTTTAGTTCATCCACCCAGGTTGTTCCCATGGACTCTAGCTTCTTCTTGAGGCCATTAACGATTGTCCTATTTGCATTTTCCACCCGCCCGCTGCATTGGAGATAAGCAACAAACGCTCTGTTGGCCTCAACTCCCCACTACCCACAAAAATCTTTAAAGGGCTCGGAGTCAAACTGTTTTCCAATATCCGTTATGATTTGCGTAGGAACTCCAAACCGACAGAATATATTCCGCCACACAAATCTTTTACATTGCTCGACGGTGATATTGGTCATTCGTTTGGCCTCAACCCACTTGGTAAAGTAATCAATCGCAACTATAATGAACTTCCGATCTCCTGAGACCTGCGAAAGGGGTCCCACGAGATCGATTCCCCCCATCGAGAAGGGGATCACAGTGCTCATAGAGGTATAGAGGGTGACAGGCCTCCCAGGACTTATTTGGAACTTCTGGCAGACCTCACATTGTCGTGCGAAGCTGGCGCAGTCCTTCACAATGATTGGCCAGAAATGTGCTTGCAAGATAGCCTTTGTGCTTAAAGTAAATGCACCTTGGTGTGAAGAGAAAATCCCAGTGTGTAACTCTTTTACCCTTTGAAGGGCTTGTTCTGGCCTTAGGCATTTTAAAAGCACACCATTGCAGCTTCGTTTGTAAAGCATCCCATCCTGTATCACGTATCTTGGAGCTTGTCTCCTGATTATTCTTGCCTTTTCTTCTGATGGTAGTGTTTCACCTTCCTTGTACTCTATTAGATCGTCAATCCAGCATCTTGGAATAGGCCTAACGGGCAAAACCTCTTGATCTTTAGTTAGTTTGATATTTCACTTGCTTAACTCCTCTATCCGAGCTATGCAAGTGAGGTATTCAGGCGCATCTGTTATCAAATTTGACAAGATATATGCTTCCTCATTTGGGCTTGTGGAACACATACCAAATCAGATTCATCGAAATGTTTGATGAGCTCCAGAATTGCATTGGTGTACCTCTTCATTCATGCTTCTTTTGCTTCATATTCCCCCCTCAGCTATTTGATTACCAGCTTAGAGTCGCTTTTGACCCTTATCTTATGTACCTTGAAGTGACTCGCTATCCTGAGGCCGGAAAGCACGGCCTCATACTCTGCTTTGTTGTTTGATAGGCGGAACAAGTACCTGAGGAAATAATACGTTTTGAAGCCTTCAGGGGTGATGAGGACCACCCCTCCTCCACAACCTTTGGACCCTGATGATGAACCATTAGTCATCAGAGTCCACCAATCTTCTTCATCACGTCGTCTTTCCTCAGCTACATCTTATGCTGCGCATTCCACAACAAAATCCGCCAAAGCCTGGCCTTTGATTGATGTTCTAGGTTGGAAACTTGCTTGGTACTGGCTGATTAGCAAAGACCATTTTGCTACCCGTGCAGTTTTGGCCATCATGAACAGAGTACCTACCCCTAGGTCTGACGAGACCTTAATAGGATAAGCTTGGAAATAATGAGCATGTTTCTTGGCCGCTACATATACTGCCAGGGCGGTCTTCTCCAAGGCCGGGTATATGAGTTGGGAGACGTGAAGAACCTTTCTTGTATAGTAGACCGACTTCTGCATGATCCCTTCCCGTACCTATCCCGGCCAGCGTATAAAATTTCATGCATATATGGGCATGGGAGATGATGGCCCCTTGGTCCTCCAATAGAGGTTGACCCAGAATGATTTGTGGACGTTTGGTAAACAAACTACAACAAAATCCGCTTCCACCATCTGCACACATGGCTCTGATCCGAGCTGAACCTTGAGGGTAATTGCTCCATCCGGCTCTATCAGATCCCCCGTGAAACCTGACTGAAGAGTATTTACCGGCTTCAGATCTTCCCTCTGGAGGCCGATCTCCTGATACGTGTTCAGGTACATTACGTTCATTGAACTATCGTTGTCTATAAGAACCTTGTGGACTATTGCATCCATAACATCCATCTTTACCGCCAGAGCGTCTCTGTGTGGGGAAGGAACAGGTGGGACGTCGTCATCAGTGAAGATGATAGATTCCCGCTTCTACTTCTTGTCGGCAGGAAGACGGTTGATCTCACACATGAACAGCTGACGACTCCACTTCTTCCTTTCCCCTGCAGTGTCTCCTCCCATTGGTCCACCATAGATCTAGTTGACATGCACTTCTGCCGGCGGGAATCTTCCCCTTCCTCGTCATCCTCGAACTGGGCTCCAACCTCCCTCTTTTTTGAGGTTGAAACTTGTCCTTGATCTTGGTGTTCCTCTTTTGAAGGGGCTGTCCTTGCCGGCTCTTTTTCACGAATTGATCCAGTTGTGCTTCGCGAATGAGCCTTTCCACGTACTTCTCAAAGACATAACAATCATTAGTTTCATGGGTATCGCTTTTGTGGAGCCTGCATTACTTCCCTCGAGTAGCCTGGCTGCTAATAACATTGCAATTTTCAGGCAATGTTACCAATCCCTCTTTGGCCTCATAATCAAGGATTGTGCTAATTGGATGTGTTAAAGGAGAAAATTGTGACTAACTGGACAGAGGCCCATCGAGGGCACCTGACTTGCTCTTTCCTCAGCCCTTCTTCTTTCTCTTGGACCCATTACCCTTATCTTGGTCATGGATCTCCTTTTCTGGATTCTTCTTTTTCCCATCGTCAGCTTGGTGCTTTCCATCCTTGTAA